TGTGTGTGTGTGTGTGTGTGTGTGTGTGTGTGTGTGTGTGTGTGTCGTAGAGTAGTTTATTTTCAAAGTTGCGGGCCAGCCCTCTGCACCCCACACTTCGGACTTGGATCCATATCATGCGTCACCACACACAAAACCAGCACCCCTAAGAAGTACCCATGTTTTTTTTTTCCCCCCTGATAAATAGTTAAACCACCACTACCCCCACCGTCTGAAATTCGGGGGGACCGGTAGCAGAGGTTCATGAGGGCTACCGGTAGCATAGTGGGGAGAGCTGGCAAGCGGCAAAAATGTACATGCATCGAATTGCCGCCGTGATTTGTTTCGAAGTTGAAATGAATTTTCTAATTTCTCAAATATTTTCCCTGGAAAGATCACGACGAAATCTACATACCCTCCCATTTTCACATTTCTTGACGTTTTCCTTTCAGCGCGAAAAATATCTGAAGTTGGGGTAGTTTTCTCGTTGGGCCACACGTGGTAAGGTGGCAAGAATGGGAAATGAGACGATTTGGCGCGGCATTTATTTCACGATTAATTTTTTTTTTTTTAAATAATTATTTTTCGTGGAAAGATCACGACCAAATTTACAGGCCCTTCAATTTTCAGAGTTGTGGAGTCATCCTTCTGAGCAAAAAAATCGCGGAAGTTGGGGTACTTTTCTCGTTGGCCAACACGTGATAGACTGGCAAAATGAAAAATGCAATAAAACGGCGCGACAATTGTTTTCACGGTCTAAATTTGTTTTTCCATTTTTTTGATATTTTTCCTGGAAAGATCACAACCTAATCTACAGGATCTCGATTTTTCAATTTTTTTCTTCAATTCATCTGAGCAGGAAAAATCGCCATAGTTGGAACTTGAAAATTGCGGGACTGGACCCGCTTGCGTGCGACGTTAGGGTTTGGACACAGGCATATCCTGACCTGCCAGCTGCCTGACATTGGACATACTTCTTAAAGAAGCAGTCCCCAAAAACACACAGGGACCCAATCAACCTGAGTGGTTATCAGATCAAGCAGTTGTGTATCTCAAATCTGTATATGGGTTCAAACCCTGAGAACAACCATACGCAGTGAATTTCATAATCTTTGTGTGTGTGTGTGTGGATGTGGGTGGGGGAGGGTAAGTAGCTGCAACTGTCAGGGTCCCCCAACCACCCCAATGCCATTTGCCATCTTGCCCAAGAAACAAACAAATTTCACACCAAGCGAAAAGCCACAAACGAAAAAGGGAAAAAAAAACGGGAAACGACAAATGCGCAGCCGCGAAACAAACGACGGTTTTACGCCACAAAAGAAAAAGGCAAAAAAAAGGGGAAATGACAAACGCGCAGCCGCTAAACCCATGACGATGAAAGAAAAAAGGAAAAAACAAGCATGGCCACAAAACAGACAACGCAAAAACCGCAAAACGACAAACTAAGAACAAAAAGAAAAAGAATATCTGCACAACTTGAAACAGACGGAACGAAACGAAAAAAAAAAAGAGAAAAAAAGTCTGCGCCGGCCACTTATCGACGGTGGCCGCTTCAAGATATTCCATCGCATCTACAACCGCTACTGCCCGCCCTCGTGGGCACTCACTCACATTGCTAACACGCTGTGAACAATTCGGTACGCGCACCGCTCTGCACCCCCCCCCGCCCTCGATCGCCTTCATCCTCCGGCCCGCACCAAAACTTCAGCCCGATTTTGGAGCGCAGCGGACCATCGACCTCCCCCCCGCGGCCAATGCTCCTTAAGGGTTAGGATATATAATATATGAAAATTATAAATGTCATATATATATATTGAATTATGGAACTTATAGAGCTAATGAGGATTTGTCTTTAGTATACCATTTGTTTCAATGTATATTATTTCAATGTTATAATTTTATGTATATATCCAGAGAGAGGAGCCCCAATCCCAATCCTCCGCTCCCACTCATCCTCTACCCCCTCCTTCCTGCCTTCCCATTCCACTCACCATCCCTGATCTGCACCGAGTCTCTATCTCCACTGTCTACTCAACCTTCCCCAAACCTATCCATTGTGGGCTCCTCCTCGATCCCGTCTCCCCCCATTCCCATTCACAGAGAGAGAGAGAGAGAGAGAGAGAGAGAGAGAGAGGGGAATGCCACTGCTTAAGCACGCTAGAGGCGTTCCCTTTCCCATGTGTTCCAAAATAGCAGCCCGTTCAAATCACACCCACAGCAAGCACTGTCCAAGCCTCCTTGTGAAGATCTCATAGCCAAATAAACACTCACATCCACCTGAAAGAAAGGATGCCCCAGTCCATCTTGACCAAAAGAGAGCAACAGAAAGTCATTACCAAGACTGTATGACAGTGTATGTGCCTCCTTTAGGATAGGATCTTTTAAGTTGGTGGATACATCCCAGATTCATTATTTTCAATGTTTTCTCATTCTGCAAAGGTAATGTAGTAAGGTTCACTAACTTGCAGCATGTGTTCGTCTTTGCTTCAGGGTTTCGGTTTGCCTGGTCTTGTGAACAGACTCAAAGTGGAAATCCCTGTCCGGTAATGAATGTTATTGACACAACAACACAGGTGATCACCATCCCTCCCAACACATTGAATTCAACAACCTCATACCGGTTCACTTGCAGAGTTGCCAAGGGAAAGTGCAGCAATAAGACCTGTGAGCGTGAAGACTCTGATAGTGTCCTTGTGACTACTATAAGCTCTGAATCTTCCTCAGACAGCGGATCATTCCTAGCTGTCCATATTGAGCGGCATTGCCAGAGAAGATCGCTCTGCTCCAAGTAAGATTTTGTGCGGAAGTTTCCTTGTTTGCCAATTTTCCTTGACTTATGGAATGGATTTTGAGAAGTCTCTTCTTTTCCCACTGTTCCCTGAAATTCTGGATTGAGTTCATGCACGCCTCTCCTCTTTTCTTTCTTTTTCTTCCATGCCTCTCCTCTTTTCTTTCTTTTTCTTCCATGCCTCTCCTCTTTTCTTTCTTTCTTCCTTCTCCTGTTCATTTTCCTTTTTGTTATGATCCTGGCCAATTCCGAAGTGCAGCTACGCAAGGAAGTACAACGCCGTCCAATTGCAAATAGAAATGAATGAATTTGAGAGGAGAGAGAGATCAAAGAAGACAACGACGAAGAAGAAGAAGATGTACACCAGCAAAAGACCAATGGCAATTCCCCCTTCTCTCGCCAACCAACTCCTCCTCCTTATCTCCCTCTCTCTTATTCAAACAATAATAGTAATACTAACGATGAATGGCTGAACCAGAATCAATGTCCAAATTCCTCTCCTACCGCTAGAACAATATGGAGTCCACCATAGCCATGAATCCCATCTTCCATCTCCTTCGGCAAGTACTGGCTATGGAGGACATCATGGACCAACCCCCGATGTGCAAAAGACAACACAAAAGCAGCTATGACCGCTGCCTCTCAGGCCGCCATGCCTGACTCTGCCTCGAAGCCATCTTGTAGCAGTGCACCATAACTAGGGCCTTCCAGAGCGCCAACCAAGAAGATGAAGATGCCGACCTCCATAGCCACGTAAGTACCCCACCACTCTCCGGCTTCGCTCCCTTCTTCCGCTTCCTCCTACCAACGATGCTCCACCATAGCTAAGGTGGGAGCTCCCGACCTTCTTCCTCCTCCTAGCGCTGTAATGCCCAGCGCTCCTCTCTCTAGCGGCGCTCTCAGAACCAGAGCCCGCTCAAACAGCATGACGCCCAAACATGCACACCGCAAATGAGGCTGAGCCTCTCGCTCGGCCACATAAGTAGTGAGGCAACTTGCCCCTTGGGCAGTGACTTCCTGGCCGCTCAGGCTCCCAAGCAACCGGTACCTCCTCCCTTTCGGAGGGAAACATCATTGCAGCCTCTGATTTCATCCGCACAGGCCCTAGACTCAGGCTGCTTGGACTAGTACTCGCCTAGGGCTCGGCCTACGCCTACTGCTACGGGGCCTCTAAAAGTACTAACTTTTTGTCTTCTTCTGCTCGGCCTACCGCTACTCCAGTGCTACCGGTACCGACGCTATGCTACTTGAGTGTGCCCTAATGATGCATACTAGGAATGATCCGAGTGGTGCAATGAAGCCAAAGGATCAGCAAAGTGATGATAAGGACATACAAAAATGGCATAATGTAGCGCAGTGGAAGACTCGAAGGTATGACCTGACCTGTCGAACACTGACTCGACCCAACCCATCACACACCACACATGTGAGAGAGAAGGGAGGGACCTCATACATGGAAGAAAGGTCCCTCCTTTAGCACGCACATGGGAGGAAACCACGGATCAGGGGATGGAGGAAGAGCAAAACGAAGATGGAGATGAGGGAGAAGACCAAGATCGCAATAGCACAGTCCAAAAATAGTCTCCCTGTCGAATGTCCAGTCAATGTCTGCCCCTGTGGTGTAGAATCAGATCCTGGGCCTCATAGCCCGACATAACCTCTATCCGTAACCTCTCTCTCTCTCTCTGTGAAAGAAGAAGAAGAAGAAGAAAAAGAAAAAGGCGAAGAAGGAGGGAGGAGGATATGCAGAAACAGGGAGAAGAAGAAAAATGTCAACCTCTCTGCTGTCTCACCTGCAGGTAACTGCTGACACGTACTGACGAGCTGGCGTGCCTCTCTGTGCTGCAGGTCGCTGGCGAAGGAACCAGCTATGGCGCCCAGGTAAGCTGCTCGCACCTCGCAGGTATGGACACCGCCTCTCCCTCACCTCACATAGCTCCTACACCTCTACCTCTACTTCTAGCGCTAAATGTCGCACGCTACGCCAGCAGTGTCGGCCAAGGAGTGAAAACTCCCGTCTATCCAAACACTGGGCTGGCCCAGCTATCTGTAGTGCTGGGCCTGGCTGGTTTGCCCATCGTCTGCAACTAGGGCCGTGCGATCGTAAGTCCGATCGACTGTCCTGGTAGCAGGCCCTAACCCTGGGCTGCGCATCAGGATCCCTATCGGACATCCAGGCCCTCCTGCTGATGTAGCAGGGAATGTGTGGTCCAGTTTCTACTGGACGAACCTGAACCTGGCCTATCTCGGCCAAAACGTGGTCCCTCAGGTCCAAACGGACACTGGTCTGTTCAGACTGGCTGATAAGTCCGAAACGACGCCCTGGAACAGACAAAAGGGTCAGCAAAAACTCGTAAAATAAATAAATAAATAAATGCTGCCTCAAAACTGAACCTGCGCACAACAAATGTGCCTGGCTTCCTAGGGTGGCCGTGGGCCATCAGGTCGTGCACGAAAATCGGTGCGCGGTCTGGGGACCCCCAACAACCGTCGCGCTCCCGAAAACGGGGCTCGTGTGGCAGGCTCAGCATGCAACACACCCCCTGCCTTGTGAAGCCGAGCCAGGGCGAGGGCGAAGCTGATGATCCGAAGGTGGAACTTGGACGTGAGCACGGTGTGGAGCCAAAGGTATCGTCTTGCCCTGCTGCTTGCGCTCGTAACATGCGAGAACGTCGGGGGCCGTAGCCTGCAGTTCTGCACAGTGTCGGACGCGGACGCGCCGCGTCAACAAATAGTTGACTCGTCGCTGTCAGCCTCTGCGCCACATCAGTTCCAAGGGTTGTCTGTGGTCACAATCAACAAGGCGCTGACGGGCTAGTTGGCTCCCTTGGGCCGAGTCAACGGACAAGACGGCACGACGGTCCGGCCTCATTAAAGCCGAATCACGACCTTTGGGCTGAACTGCCGAATCCGCAAGGGCCAAATTAGTAAGGCCCGGTGCAAGCGGCACTGAAAACGGACCAAGGGTTAGTGAGAAATGTACAATAGACCACTTGAGACCGGACCGGCATGGTTATTTGGCCTTGTCGGGGAAGGTACGGCCTGAAGAAGTCAAGGGAACACGGAATTGGGCACTTATTATAGTTTAGAGGGGTCCGGGTTATTTTGGAACAGAACCGGCCCTTCAATTCCAAGGTCGAGGCTGTCCCAGTCCCACGCGATTCTTAGCGCAGGCCTGTGCTATTTTTAGCACGGGAGGCCCATGCTATTTTTAGCGCAAGCCTGCGCTATTTTTAGCACGGGACTGGTAGTGTCCCAGTCCCGCTCTATATTTAGCGCAGGCCCGCACTAATTTTAGCACAGGCCCAGGCTATTTTTAGCGCAGGCCTGTCCTATTATGCTATTTTTAGTGCAGGCCCGTGCTATTTTTAGCGCAAGCCTGTGCTATTTTTAGCACGGGACTGGCTGTTTGTGTCCCAAGGTCGGGACTGTCCCAGTCGTGCGCTATTTTTAGCGCAGGCCCATGCTAATTTAGCACGGGACTGGCTGTTCGTATTCTAAGGTCGGGACTGGTGCTAATTTTAGCACAGGCCTGGCCTTTTTGTAGCCCTGACCATGACCATGGGACTGCTGCACTTGGGTCCGACCACCTGGCCTCTCCACTATAAAAGAGACGCCATGTCACTCAAGAGGGGCAGTGTGGCATACTGCGTATCCACAAGGGCCTGCAGGGCCCGACCAGACGGAAAATAAGGGCCCTCCAGGCCCTGTGTCGTTTCAGCCTAAAAGCCTGAAAACGAGGGCCATTTTCAGGCCCTCATAAAGGCGACCTGCCCTGAAACTCAGGCGCCAGACCAGGGTTTAGCACAGCCCATTTTTGGGCCTGCTTCAAGACAATCTTTGTTTGAAAACGCCAGGGTCTGGCACGCTTCGGCATTGGCAAGAGCAGCCTCCCAGATGGGCCAGCACTATATAGTACTGGCCCGCCCTGCAGGCTGCAGGGAGTTCACGGGGACTTCCCAGGCAGTTCACGGACACTTCACGTGCAGGAGGCAGGAGGCAGTCCTCAGGATTGGGCAGCAGCACTCTGGAGGAGCGCTGCAGTAGTAGTAGCTAGTACTAGTCTTCAGCGCTGGGCGCTGTAGGAGCTTAGAGTAGCGTTGGAGAGAGAGAGAGTTGGCGGAGGCCAGGGAGACTTACCTGTGGCGCCATAGCTCCAGCTTCGTCTTCGATGTACCTGCAACAAGGCGCCACTTCACAGGTTAGTACTTGGGACAAGAGAGAGAGAGAGAGAGAGAGAGAGAGAGAGAGAGAGAGAGAGAGAGAGAGAGTTCTTCTTCTTCCTCCTCTAAGTCCACCATCTCTCCCTCACCCTCTCGCTACCTGACTTTTCAGTATCGACAGACTACGAGAGAGAGAGAGGTTTGTGACTATTGGGATGTTGACGACATTGGATACAGACTCGACTTGGGAACAGAGACATTGACGAGGGACTACTTGGGATCGATATCAGCGACACGTGTGTGACGACATTCCCATCTTCTCCCTCATCTTCATCTGATCCCCCTCCTCTTCGTCCGTGTATGGTTTTGGGCTGGCGCATTCTTCCTGTGTGAGCGCCAGACCCCTGCACACCATGTGATGATGATGATGTATGTTTGGTCTGCACTGCGACATTGATTGGGCTGATCATTGGTATTTTAGCTTTCCGCTGCGCTATCCTGTACTATGTGAGAGAGGTCGGTTCTTGTTCTGGTCTGTACCATTACGGTATGCGACAGTTTGGTATCGGAGCGGACCTCTCAATCAGAGGATCCACCCAATCAAGTAGCAAGATTGGTTGATTGATTGATTGTTATTGTTGAGTCAAGTAGGATTTCGTCAAATCTCTGCAAAAGTTTTCACGACAAATGTTTTTCTTTCTCGCAACAAATATCCAAAAATTTCTGATATTAGCATTTCGTTTTAAATATCCGAAAATTTCTGATATTAGCATTTCGTTTTAATTAGCCGAAAAATTCTGATATTAGCATCTCGTTTTCTGGGCATACAGGTCAACAAGGGAGGTTGTCATATTCTCGGAAACTGTATATATTCTTTTCTGAAAATCAAATCTCCATTCTATTTTGCGCAAAAAAAAATTCAAGATCGCAGTTTTATTGAAAGCCGAAAATTTGCGAAACCTTGCCTAGATCTCGCTCATAGCAGTCCTCCGTAATGCCTCACTGATATCAAATCGGCAGATTTTCAAAAAAAAAACAAAAAAAAACAAAGGGGTGGAACCTCTTCCTTTTATTTTTATTTTTTATTCTGTTGATTAGGACCGGGAATGGGAACTGCAGTTTGGTTACCTTCCTGCGTTTCCCTCCCACCCAGCCCTTTGCCTGCATTCCCGGTTTGGTAAGTGCCAAGTCAGCAGTGCCAAGTTAGCAGTGCCACGTCAGCAGTGCCACGTCAGCAGTGCCATGTCAGCAGTGCCATGTCAGCAGTGCCACATCAGCAACAGTGACAACAGCAGTGCCACGTCAGCAGCACAGTGCCACCAGCGGTATCAGTGCCACATCAGCAGTGCCCCGCCACCATGACGGTTTCAGTTCTGGGCATGTCGGGCCAACTGGCCAACGAGTCCATTGCCAAGTACCGACAGCGGTTCCTAGCTCAGCTCGCACTGATTGAGTCTGAGGAACAGCGACAGGCGGCAGCTGAGGCTGCCCGCCTACAGGCTGAGGCGGAAGCAGCAGCTGAACAGCAGCGGCTTCAGGCCGCAGCTGATGCAGATACCCAGGCCCGCCACAAGGAGGCCCAGGATCTGCTGCAGCGGCACAAAGCCACGAGAGTCGACAAGCTCAAGTTCTGGCACTTTGAACCATCCGAGGGCCACGACGACGCAACACCGGAAGAGCAGCACAAGGAGTTTCTCGCCAAACTCGTGACCCGGTTGGTTTACACTTGTAACCACCTGCAGTCCGAGCTGGCGATTCTCCGACGGACAGTGCGGAACCACAAGGATCTGCACAAAGATGCTTACACGGGAACTCAATTCCCGTGTACAGGACTTGGGGCAAGCAGCACCAGGACCAGATGCTGGCGAACCCAACAGTGCAGCCTCAACCCGCCAATTGGAGGACGAGTTGACCATCTAGTCACAATGCTCGGAGACATCAGCACCTTCGCCGCACCAGCCACCGTCAGCGAGCAGCTCGGCACCTTGAAAACCGAGCTCAGGCAGCTACACCAGCCGACCGACAACGATGGCAGCACCAGTGCATCGCGACCATACGAGATGACGACTTTCCGGATTGAGAAGTTTGATGACTATACGCATCAGGACCCAGTCATCTAGTGGCAAGGCTTTACGACGGAGCTTGGAATTCATGACGTCCCCGCTCACTTGTACATCTCGGCGCTGTTCCTCAACGCCAAGGGCGGATGCCAGATCTGGCTCAACCACGTGGCAACCATCCACGGCGTCCAGGTCTCCGATCTGCACAAGAAGATCTCCTGGGACGAGATGACGAGGGAATGGAAGAAGCGGCTCATTGTCGACGGCGCCCCGACGCTCGCCATTAACCGCCTCTTCAGCATGACTCAAGGCAACACACCGACACGCGACTGGCTCACGAAATGGCAAAAGATCGTGGCACCTGATCTTGACTTTCCATTTTCGCATCTACGCCGGGAGTTCTACAACTGGTCGTGTGCCGCCTTGAGCCTCACACTTGGTGATCGAGAACAGTACACGACCTTCGCCGAAATCATCGACAAGGCACGTGAGATCATCAAGAGCAACCGGGCTGAGAAGTCGGCGTGGCAGCCAGCCTATGTGTAGAAAGGAAAATTTGGTCTGCGTCCGCAGCCAGTCGCAGCAGTCCAACCGGACAACCTTGTGGAAGACCCGGCAGCCACCCCAGCATCATGTGAGGGAGATCAGGTGGCCGCCGTCCAGCCGCGAAGCAACAACAACTCCCTTACCGAAGGGAAGGCGAAAACAGCATCGCCGGTCGAAAATGGACAACCAGTACCATGGGTCAAGTTCAGCTTGACCGAGGCCGAATACAAGTACCGTAACCGATACGACTGTTGCTATTGGTGCAACAGCACCAGGCACAAGACCTCCCAATGCCAGAATCAAGGCAATGAGGATGTTCGACCTCGAATCAGCTCGGGAAACTAAGCTGCGCGGGAGGTGAGGCGACTCCACCTCTCACTCCGCCAGATTCGGCCCCGGGAAACTAAGCTGCGCGGGAGGTGAGGCAACTCCACCTCTCACTCCGCCAGATTTGGCCGCCTTGCATGCGGGAGGTGCTAGCGGCCTCCTACACATCTGGGGAGAATGCGGATGTCGTGAGTCCTCGGTTCACTTACAAGGATTACGCTGTCCACTTGGTCCTACCGTTGGACCAACCACTCCACGTGCAACAATCCACCGCATGCACAGTTTCATCACCATCAGCAACCGATTCGGCAGCTTCGCCGCCAACTTCAGTCGGGGATTCGACGTCATGGTCAAGACTTGAAGAACTCGACCCGTTGATGTTCACGGACTTCTAATGGATGCCCCTTCCTCCGTCTTGTCGATTGTCGAAACCGCATTGCAACGTGCTCATGGCACAATTGCGGGATTACTTGCACACTGCAGTACCAACTCCGTTGATGGACGCCGGAGTAGGGGTTGTCGACCTTCGCGACTACCTTGTGAAGATCAATCGGGAGTTCAAGACACAACGGTACGACGACATCAACGTGCCATTGCTGTACATACGCATTCAGATCGGAGAGGCGACCTGCAACACTTTGATCGATTGCGGAGCTACTCGCAACTATATGAGCCAAGACTTTATGGTACACGCCGGCCTTGGGCCACGCGTTCGGAGGAAGTCGCAGCCCACTCAAGTCACGTTGGTCGACGGTCACACACACACACAAGTCAATCGACCGGTGCATTGATTCCGTCCCCGTGTACTTCGCCCCGCATGCAAGTGAGGTTGTGTCCTTCGACATTTTGGACACCCAGTTCGACATGATTTTGGGCATGTCATGGCTGCGAAGCGAGAATCACCCAGTGCACTTCTACCACCGCACCATTCACGTTCGTGATCGGAACGGAGTACTAGTCATATGCACGGTGCCTCCACCTCTTCCTTCGATCAGCTGTAACGTGGTGTCCGCCGCGAGCATTCGAGCTTCCATCACCCGTAACGACATTGAGAAGATGGGTGTGTGTTTTCTCCACGCCCTCCCGCCCCATGACATCTCATCGACGGATGCATCGACGGATCCACGCATCACCAAGCTTCTCGACGCCTACGACGATGTGTTCGAATGCCGCATGGAGTAGTACAGGATCGGGCCATCTGCCACGAGATCATTCTCGAGGCCGGGGTCGTACCTCCGCGTGGTTGCAACTACCGCATGAGCGAGGAAGAGTTAAGTGTGCTACGAACACAACTCGACAACCTTCTTGAGAAAGGTTGGATTCGGCCTAGCTCTTCACCATATAGTGCTCCCATTTTCTTCGTTCGAAGAAGAACAAGGACTTGCGTTTGTGCATCGATTATCGTAAGCTCAACGCACAAACCGTCAAGAACGCTGGCCCTCTTCCGCGCATCAACAACCTTCTCGAACGGTTGGGTAGCGCTAAGTTCTTCTCCAAGCTTGACCTCAAATCGGGATATCACCAACTCGAGATCCGGTAGGGGGACCGCTACAAGACCGCGTTTAAGACGTGATGTGGGCATTTCGAATGGTTGGTTATGCCTTTTGGCCTTACGAATGGCCCGACCACGTTCCAAGCGGCTATGACAATGGAGTTCCGACACATGCTGGATAGATTTGTACTCATTTACCTCGACGAAATCTTGGTGTACAGCCATAGTTTGGACGAGCATGTGGAGCACCTGCGCACCGTTTTGGAGCAGCTACGACAAGCCAAGTACAAAGCCAACCGCGACAAATGCGAATTCGCGCGGCAAGAGCTTGAGTACTTGGGACATTATGTGACGCCACAAGGCATCCGTCCACTTGCGGACAAGATTGAGGTCATCCACGTATGGCCCAACCCCACCAACACCACGGACGTTCGCTCATTCATGGGGTTGGCAGGCTACTACCAACGTTTCATCATCGGATACTCAAGGATCGCCGCACCATTGACGAGACTACAATCGCCAAAGGTGCCATTCGTATTCGACGACGACGCGTGCCGGTCGTTCCAAGCACTCAAGACGGCCATGCTTATGGCACCCGTCCTTGGCATCTATGACCCCATCTTGCCAACGAGAGTGACGAATGGCGCTTCCGGCTATGGCATTGGGGCAGTCTATGAACAACACGACGGCGACGACTGGCATCCCGTGGAGTACTTCAGCCACAAGGTGCCTCCTATCAACTCACTTGATGATGCAAGGAAGAAGGAGCTACCCGTGTTCGTGATGGCTCTCAAGAGTTGGTGATACTTCCTCCTTGGGCGTCGTAGGTTCACATGGATCACGGATAACAACCCGTTGACCTACTACAAGACGCAAGATACGGTGAGCAACACTATCGGACGATGGATATACTCCATCGACCAATTTGACTTCACACCGAAACATCTCGCCGGCCTCTTCAATCGTGCAGCAGATGCACTCTCGCGAAGATGCGATCTTGGCGCTATGACACATCATGCCTTCGCATTCGACGAGGAACTCCAGCGGCATTTCATTCGGGGCTATGAGTCGGATCCGGATTTCGCCACACTATATGCACAACTATCTTTGGATCATCCGCTGACCAGCAATTATCGCACCGCCGACGGGTACTTGCTTCTCCATTCGTAAGGCAAGGACTTATTGTGTGTCCCACGAGACCGTCGTCTTCGGACTCGCCTTCTCGGCGAGTACCACGACTCGCGACTCGCCGGCCATTTCAGAGTCAACCGAATAATTGCACGACTTCGGCAACGATTCCGGTGGCCCGACCTCATTACCGATGTAGTTTGCCAACGAAGCAAGCCCCACAACCACAATCCCTACGGCGAGTTGCGAAGTTTGCCAACGAAGCAAGCCCCACAACCACAATCTTCTCCTTCCACAAACAACCGACATAGACGTTGCGTGCTCTCCCGCCTCCGTCCGGAAGTACAGGGAATTGCTGGCTCAAGCCCATGCAAACATGCAAAAGGCTCTCAAGTCCGCATGCAGCAGCAAGCCGATCGGCTCCTCGTACCATGTCCTATCCGAGGCGGCGACCAAGTTTGGGTCTCCGCGGAAGAGTTTATGCTCGAACAGGATGTTTCTCGCAAACTACTACCCAAGTGGTTTGGACCATGGACCTTCCGTTCAGCCGCAGGCGACGAGCCCGACGACCCATCCTTTGTGATCGACGTCCCTCCGCATCTGCTGGTCCATCCAGTCTTTCATGCCTCGAAGCTGGCGACATACACACCAGCAAAGGACGATGACTTCTCGAACCGACGATTGCAAGACCCTCTGTCTATGGATGGTCATCAGGAAGTCGACCGCGTCATCACGGATCACAAGTATGGCAACAAGCCTCAACAGTACAAAGTTGCCTTCAAAGCATGCGATCCTAACGACACTTGATGGATTTCACGAGCAGATTTGCAAGCATCCGCACCTCTGATCTACGCTCACTAGGAACGACAGGGAGTAGCTAAGGAAGCTTCACGACCTGCCCCTCCCACCCGGACTTTGGTCCCTCCCTCCGAAAGGCAGCTTCGCCCTCGTAGGTAAGCTCGGTCTTTCAAGGAGGGGGGGGTGTGCCATACTGCGCACCCACACGGGCTTGCAGGGCCCGACCAGACGGAAAATAAGGACTCTCCAGGCCCTGTGTCATTTCAGCCTAAAAACCTGAAAACGAGGGCCATTTTCAGGCCCTCATAAAGTCGACCTGCCCTGAAACTCAGGCGCCAGACCAGGGTTTAGCACAGACCATTTTTGGGCCTGTTTCAAGACAACCTTTGTTTGAACTTCAACACCAGGGTCTGGCACGTTTTGGCATTGGCAAGAGCAGCCTCCCGGACGGGCCAACAGTATATAGTACTGGCCCGCCCTGCAGGCTGCAGGAAGTTTACGGGGGCTTTGAGGGCCGAAAAGCCAGACGCATTAGTCGTGACGCGTGTCGGCAAAAGCAGATCGTAGATGCGCAACACCTCCGCGGATAGTAATGTGGCTTTGAGGGCCGAAAAGGAAGCCCGTGCAGTGTCGTCGAAGTCGAATGGTCGGTCCTCTCATTGAAGCTTGGATAAATGAGCCGCGACCTTCGAGTATCCCTTGATGAAGCGTTGATAGTAACCGGCTAAGCCAAGGAAGGAAGGGACATTTGTGACGTTCTTTGGCTCCGGCCACTCTTGGATTGTTCGGATCTTGTCCGACAACTGACTGATGCCCTCCGGTGTGACAAAATGACCCAAGTACTCCAACTCTTGACGCACGAATTTGCACTTGTCGCGGTTGGCCTTGTACTTGGCGCGATGGAGCGTATCCAACACATGTCGAAGGTGCTCGAGGTGTTCCTCCAAAGTTCGTCTATAGACGAGAATATCGTCTAAGTAGACCAGCACAAACCGGTCCAACATAGCACGGAACTCGTTGGTCATTGCCGCTTGAAAAGTTGTCGGGGCATTGGTGAGGCCAAACGGCATAACGACCCACTCAAAATGCCCGTACCGCGTCTTGAACACGGATTTGTAGCGATCTTGCGGGCGGATCGAGATTTGATGATAGCCCGACTTCAAGTCCAACTTCGGAAAGAATTTTGCGTCGCCCAAACGCTCGAGAAGATCGTCAATGCGCGGAAGAGGCCTCGCATTCTTGACGGTTTGTGCGTTGAGCTTGCGGTAGTCGATGCACAAGGGAAGATCCTTGTTCTTCTTCCGTACGAAGAGAACTGGCGCACCGTATGGTGAGCTGCTGGGTTGGATCCAGCCCTTGTCCAACAGATCATCGAGTTGCGCGCGGAGAACCGCGAGCTCTTCCTCGCTCATGCGATAGATGCATCCTTTCAGTGGCACGGCACCGGCCTCAAGAATGATCTCGTGGGAGATCGGCCGATCCGGCACCACACCGGTAGGAGACTCGAAGATGTCGGTGAAGTCGTCGAGTAACCACACCCACTCGGGGGTTCGAAGACAAGTCCATTGGTGAAGTTCCGGTCGCCTCGATGGTCCGGAAAAAACATAGGCCTATCTCATCGGTCCGCTCGTAAGCGCAAGTGGCCCGAAAAGACTTGGTCGTTACAATTTGGCACCGTATCGAAGGGTGTGGAAGAGGAATAGTACACGACACCTCGGCGCCGAAGGCGTCGCGAACGGTAAGTGCCCGCCGATGGAAGTCAAACGTCACCGGTTCGCATGCATGAGGTGCAAAGTAAACCGGCACGGCTTCGATGTAGCCATCGAGGAGTTGTTGCGTCCGACTGTCCACAAGCTTGATCGCCGTCGGGTTTGGCTTCCTTCGAACCTGTGTGCCAAGGACGGCCCTTTGGATAAAGATCTGGCTGATGAAATTGCATTCGCGCCGCTATCCAGCAAAGTGCTGCAGAACGCTTGCCCAACTTGGATGCGGACATAAAGGAGCGGTGTGTTGTTATCATCGTACGCTGTGTGCGAAACTCACGGGCCGCCTTGCTAATATACGCAAGGATGTCCCCCACCGCAGCTTCGTCATCCGTCGACAAAGATGGTGGTGCATAGAAGGCTAAGTATGTGTGGAGATGGGAGCATAATGCTGCGCATTGCGGTACTGGTAGCCAGCCTGTGGAAGGGAAAGGAAGCCATGCAAAATCCTTGGACGTCAACGGGTCCAAGACCTCTATGTTGAACTCGTGCGTCGAATCCCTTAGAGAACCACTTGAAGACGATACATTGTCGTTGCTTCCAGACGGAGAAGAAACCGCACACACATCTTGTCCTTGAGCTTGAGAACCCAGCGAAGGAACGAGCCGGGCATCATAGTCTTCATAAAAATATAAGAGAGGACTGTCGACTTCCACATGTGCCTCGGAATGAAGGGAGGTCGCTCGTGAAGCAACCGGTTCCGTAGGCGTCGAGAGTGCAGCCGCATCACTATCGGCGGTGCTCACTTTCCCGAAGGGAATTTGCCTTTGACTTGCGTGGGGCACTGCGCGGTGTCGTGCACTGCGCTGTTGCACCACAAACAGTATCGGTACTTAGTACGGATGCGGTAAACGCCTTCCGAGACACCGTAATGCGTCCAAGGCTCTTGAGCGGCTGGCCCGGTCCCGGGGCATGAATTGGTGTTTGTCTTCGGTTTGCCGCGCCCTCGCCCTCGGGCAGGGCGGCCACCATCCCGGGCGGCTGCCAATCTGTCTCCTTCATCAGAAGAGGCAGCCTCGTTTGAAGGGTTGGTCGGCGTAGTTGCTGCGACCACGGCCACTTTCGGTCAATGCTGATCTCTGCCCTCGCTCGCAGCAGACGAACGGCCCAAATTCTTGGCTTTGGTGTTTGTCACGATGATCTGCGAGGCTTTATCAAAAAGCTGCAAGACAACAAGATTCCAGGGACGGTGGGTAGGTCTGGGGGACCCATGCAGGTTCCCACAATACTTTCTTGCAGTCGCCACTGGAGAACCCTTGATATTTTTTTACCTGTTGTGAAGAGCCCTTCGTATCTGCTGCTTGCTCAGAAGCTCTTGTTACTATCCTGTTTATGTGTGCGTGTGTGTGTGTCCCACCCACTTCCCTCTGAAGGGGTCTGGGACAGGTATCCGAAGGGGTACCTGTCCCAGACAAGTCCCCTTCAGATACCGATTTGTAACACACACCTTGGGATGCAATCACACAGTGCAGGGAACGGTGGAGTTAGTCCATAAGTTGGCTCAAGCATTTCAATTCTTTCCATACATTCTCCGTGGAGCATCTTGAGGGTTGGAAACTACTCGGCTTCCCAAGCACCCTTTTGACCATTCCCCAACATCTCCTGCTATTAAATCCGTTGTTAGTCATTCTTTTTATTATTTTGGCAATTTCGTCCGCTGCTTCTTTGGGTTCTGAGCAGATTATCAGAATAGTAATTACCTGTCCGATCATAATTGCAAGGGATTGCTTGACTGGTCTGTTTGAATTAAATATGATGTATCGGTTCACCTTCAGTCCAAGTTCCTCCACCTTGTCATACTTGCCTGTGTGGAACTTCCCACTGACAGCATCCGCGGTTAGCTTGAGATTGAGAAAAGAGCCAGTGCTGGTGTGGTCAGGTTCAGTTATGCTTTGCTTTTTTACTTCAATGAACTGCGCCGGGTAGAGCCAGATAGGGTCCCGCTCATCTCGTGGTCTGCTTTGTCCAGGAATTCTTCAATAATCCCATTGTTCAAGGCATTCAGATCATCCATGTATCTAAACGTGTGCTGGAACAGGGGGACGAGGTGTTTGTTCCTTGTCTCAGGCAATCTCATCATACAGGAGAACTCATATTTGAAAAAATATAAGTTGCACCAAATGGGGGAGCAAGGGAGTCCCATAGGAATTCCATTCCTCTGTCTCCATATTTTGCCGCCAAATTGGATGAAGTTCCTGCTGGCCAACCATTGGTTCATTGTTAGGAGTTGTTGCCCCGTGAGTGTGTAGCCATTCGTAGTGCTGTGACAATCTCCCACCCAGTGTCCTGTGTATTTTCCTGATCCTGTCTTTTTATCCCTGATGAAATCCTGTCCCATACCCTCCTTCCTATTCCTGAACCCTTTTCTGATTGCAAATGCAAGGACTGGTATCAACCCATGCTCCGTGCCGTCCGTGGGGATGGTTTCGAAGCACCGGCTGGTGTCAGCGGAGTATACTTCATGCACTTTGTCCAGGAGGTTCAGGCAGTAGTCATTGATAGAATCAATGGGCCACCAAAGGCTCACAGACATTCCATGCAAATTCTTGACACTGTCGGAAATTTTCACGCAGAGTTTCTGAACTTCCTCACTAACCAGTTTCAAGGCCACAGCACAAATTTCAGCCATGGGGGAGAGAAGACATTGGTTAGCATTTGTAATCCATCTCAGGGTCTTTTTGTGACTTTTGTAGTTGGCCATTAGGTAGGGGATTTTGGGAGGGCCCAGCCGGTAGCCATCCTTATTGTTGCTACGAATGTTAGCAACCATTCCCTCGACCGCATGCCCCAAGAGCTCAAAATCCTCACTCAACAGTCTGTCATATGCCAGTTGCCTGATGAAGTTCTTACAAATTATGACGGCCGTATTAGATGCCTTATCCATACAAGCAACGAAAAAGTTATGAGTAATGTATTCAATCTTGCTGCATACCTCGGTGCCTATCTCTGTATCCTGGGAATCTAGGCATGCAATATTTCTTTAGTTCTTTTTTAACCGGCTTTAGTAGCTCCAGTTCAATCCCGTACTTGCTGCAAATCAGTTCTTCCGTATTGTCCCATAGACCCAATATCTCCTTCATAGCTTCCCCCACATCTAGTTTAGTCAGGGGAATGTGGTTCAGCCCATGGCTAAGTAGCTGCTGGAGCAATGGGAGTCTTGTAATCGAGTAATCTGACGTGATGACATGTCGGGCGGGGAGTCCCCCCGAGTTACTGCCAAGGAGGTCGGTGGAGGCTGGTTCCACGTATCCCTGGAATCTTGTTGTCTTGCAGCAGCAGAAACGTCTCGACAGCTGCCAGGCTTCCAGCTGGAAGTCCCTGAAGACCTCTGCTGGTTTGTAGAGCTTGCTGGAGATGGATTCATCATAGGTCCATCCGAACGTGATTCCCTCGATGCAGCCGGCTGCTGAAGGGCTGACTATCGCTGCTAGGATCGTCATGAGGACGCCTTTGATCGAGATGGCTTCCACGAGTCTGCTCATATATCTGGCATGCAGTACTGTTTTCTGTGGATTTTTCTCCATCCGACACCATTTACGTCTCCCCGCCCAGCTGGTGCCGATTACACCCTCGCATTCCTGCAATCATGGCAGAGAGAGAGAGAGAGAGAGAGAGAGAGAGAGAGAGAGAGAGAGAGAGAGAGAGAGAGAGAGAGAGCAACGCACTGACCAACAGGTAAGTCT